ACTATGGATATCTCTGCCCTCCTATACCTTCTGAGTTGGGCCTTGAAGCAGGGGTCATTTTTTGGCCCAGAGGGAGACAAGATTCCCCCCTAATGACTTTATATTGGATGGTCTCCGAATGATTCTTGATAACAACTACTTCAGATTTGAGAAACGTTAACTCCAAACCAGGGGTACTGCCTTGGGCAGTTCCGCTGCCCATTCCTATGCTAATCTTTTTGTAGGATACCTTGAGCAAAGGTAGGTCGAGCTATCTGAACTCTTCTCTCATGTAAGACTATGGACTAGATAAAAAATGTTTTTATTTTTGTACTTTGTCCTCTCAAATTGTGGTACGTTCAGTTATAATGTCTTCTCATCCACATAGGAGGGTTCCTATTCCAAACATTTCATTAGGATTGTATTGATATTACATTCACCCCCTCATTGTCTAAATACACTGATACCACTAGTTTTTTTTGACCTGCGATATAACCTTTTGTAAATATTGTTTTTTCTTTTGCATGAATTATATATTTTGTTGCTTCACTTGCCTGGGAGAAGCACGTTGCCTATAGCGTGCGCAGGCGCTTTTTGGACCCCCGGACGGGGAGGATGCACTTCCTGTGCTACTCTCCAACCATGCTACCTTGGTCTCCATGACTACCTGTGACACGGCCACTGATACATTCCTACACCCGTCGGTCGGTGTACTGATGGCTCGTTCTCCCGCCACATTTTTTATTTTTATTTACTGCTTGAATTTTTCTCCACTGGGCATACTGGTAAGTCTGCCATCATATATCATGCTATATATTACTGAGCGCTTTGAATTCCCTGGATTGACATGTAATGTTTGATTTTCGTTTTTGAAATTCTGGCGGGCTTTGATGCAACTATGTCATGGGGAGGTTCTTCACACTTTGGTGTGTGTATGCATGTCCTTTTTCATTTCCTCTTTTTCCACCATCTTCACCCTAAAGAAGGAACCCTGAATGGTTCTGAAACGTTGGCTATACTACACATGTGACATGTTTCTTCAATAAAGAATACTTGGATTATTTCATCCTGCGATTGCTGGTGATCTTCATTGCTGCTAACTTTGGATATGCACGGCGCCATCTCTGGACATCACTACGAGCACCACTGCTATTTCTAGCACGAGTCCTGATTGCTGTATGGTGTGCAGGAGATATGTATCATAAAGGGGGGGATGCAGTTGTGTCAGGGACAGGAAGGCACAGTAGTATATTACTGTGACCCCTTACTTTTTCTCTATAGAAGTGAGTAGAAATCTCCCAAAAGGACACCGATGACCATAAAAACCAGAAGAGACCTTTTGTCTGGAGTGTAATGATGTGTTGAGACGATATCTCCATAGCTAGCTTGGCTTATCTAAGAACACATCCTTCTACTCGTAGTGCTCTCAGAACATGTTAGATTGGTTCATCTGGATCTGGTTGCTTTAATTGGCTGTTGTCTCGCCATATTTATTTTACCTAGTTTTTTGTTTGGCTTTGTGTGTTTACAGTTTTGAAATGTATGCTTTTTGACATACCGTAGGTGGATCCAAAAGAAGTTGGTGCTACTTATAAGTTGCTAATAATTAGAAATGGTTTTTATTCTTAGTGAGTTAGTTGTAACAGGAGTAGTCCATTATAGCTGTCAGTGTGTGTGTATATAAGGGAACTACAAGTCCTGTTTATGTCTACACGACTGGTAAAAACAAACGGCAGTAGCTAGACTCTTAGGTTTTCTTTCACCTTTTATTTGTTGAGTTTTAATGTGCATGGGCATTCTCTTTCCACTAAACAAAGTCTATAGGAAAATAAATGGATGCTAAGCAAAATGCACTTGTTTAATCTAGTTAAGCCTAGCAATAGTGCTAGACCAAGAAATGAAGATGCAGCAGTTGTTGTTGTAGTTTGTCTATGTTTAACAAAGAAAGGGGTTACTACACTGTGTTAGAAAATGCTGAATGTTTAGCTGGAAGAATAGAAAATACAATGAATGAGCTACTCAGCAATGTTCACAGCTAACTGGTTTGCACGTCGGGCCAGGATTCTGTTCCATAGCCTAAGCTGAAATTCTATACTGTAACAGGAATCATTGTGTAAGCTGTCACATGTATGTTTCATCACCATACAATGTAATCTGGGGTTTCTGAGATCACAAATGGTAATGCAAATCACTTTGTAGCTAAATCACAAAGAATAAGTTATGGGTGGACACCAGTGAGTTGAGTTGAATCACCCATTGACATTTTGTAGTAATTAGAGACCTCAGTGTCATGTGCTCCCAGTAGAGTTCCTAGCTGTGCCCTGTTCTTTTGAAAAACTGAAAACCATTTTAGGAAGGATGCGTGCTTAAATTATAAAATGTTCTTAATTGAAGGACAAAACATTCAGAGATATTTAGATTATGCTGTTTTCATACAGGAGGAATTTGGACACTGGTAAACAAAAAAGTGACCAACCTTGTATCACCCCCCCTCCCACTAGCATGCCTTAGTTTTTTGACAGTATCTCCGGAGGATGGAGGTCTTTTCTTTGCTTAGAAACGTTTTAACTGTTTTTACTTTTTTTTTTTTTTTTTTTTTTATTTTTTTTTTTTAAGTA